TTAGCTGATAGCCTTATGAGATTTCTGTTCTATGTAACTGTTTGCTCTTTTCTTGCTGCTTTTAAAATTCTCTTTTTGTCTTTAATCTTTGCTATTTTAGTTACTCTGTATCTTGGTGTGGACCTCCTTGGGTTCATCTTGTTAGGGACTCTCCTCAGTTTCTGGGCCTTGATATCTGTTTCCTTCTCCAGGTTAGGGAAGTTTTCAGCTCCTATTTCCTCAAATACATTTTCTGTCCCTTTCTCTCTTCTCCTGTGACCCCTATTATGTGAGTGTTGCTCTGTTTGAAGTTGTCACAAAGATCTCTTAGCATCTTTTCATTAAGTTTTTTTTCCTTTCTGTTGCTCAGTGTGGTTCTTTTCCATTACTTTGTCTTTTTGATTGCTGATCTGCTCTTCCAAAGCCTCTAATCTGCTATTGTTTCTTTTTATTTCATTGCACTTACTGTATTCTTTATCTCTGACTGGTTCTTTTTTTATATTTTCTATTTCTTTGTTGAAGTCTCCCTGAGTTCATCCATTCTTCTCTCTGGTATGGTGATCATCTTTATGAACATTATTTTGAATTCTTTATCAGGTAGATTGTTTATTTCCATTTCATTTAGCTTTTTTTTTTTTCTGACATTTGTTCTTTCATTTGAAACATATTCCTCTGCCTCTTCATTGTGTCTGGCTCTTTGTGTTTGCTTCTATATATTAGATTAGCTTTGTCTCCTGATCCTGAAAGCAGTGGCTTTATGTAATAGGCATACTGTGGTGCCCAGAAGCGCAAAACCCTCTGGTCACCAGAGCCAGGTGTTACAAAGGTGTGTCCCCTTTGTGGGCTGTGTGTACCTTCCTGTTGTGGCTGATGCAGCTACTGTGATTGTGCTGGCTTATAGGGCTCACTCTAGGTGTGGCTGGCTGAAAGACTAGTCAGGGCCATTTCTAGTGTGCTGGTGTGTGGGGCCAGCTCTCAGCCTGGCTGCCTGTAATGTGCAATAGGATTACTGCTACCATGCTGGTGGGTGGGGCTCACTCCTCCCCTCCCAGGAGGTGGGATCGGGTGGTTGCTTTGGTGGAGTATCTTGTCAGGTTGGGTGTGTTGGGTGGGGCAGATTAGCAGGGAAAGCCAGGACAGAGTCAGCTATGCTGGTAAGGTAGATGGAGAATGAATAAGAGCTGGCTCCTGCAAACATCCAACCATTTAGGCTAAGAGAAGCCTTGAAAAATGTCATCCATGAGCCCCTCCCCACCAGAGAAAGCTCTCATAGGCTCCTTCTTCTCTGGCATACTTCTCAAAGTTAATCAATAAATCTCCCTTCAAACCACTGCTTCTGTGTTGGGTCTCAGATTGATTGACACACCACACTGGCCCTCTAAGAGCAGAGACTTGGCCATCCATGGCCATCCAGCTCTTCCCTGCATTAAGCCCAATGGATTTTCAAAGCCAGACATTATGGGGCTTATCTTTCCAGTGTAGATTGCAGGGCCGGGTGTGCTGGGTTTCAGGGAGTTCATCCCCTCCTCACTGTGTTCCTCGCTCCCTCCTGCTTATTGGTTGGGATGGGAGAAGGTTTGGATCCCAACTGATGGCTCTTCTCCTTTACCCTTCTTCTTGTGGCCTCCTCTTTCTTTTGTCGCTGTGGAAGGCCTTCAGGTTCTGCCTGTCTTCAGGTTGTTTTCAGAGTTAGTTGTACTAGATGTAGTTGTTGCCTTTGTGTGTATGTGGGAGGAAGTTATCACAATGACCTATTCTGCCATCTTCTTAGAATCTACCTCTCTTTCTTTTTCTTGTGAATTTTGCAGTATGTGTTGACTGTTCAATAAATATTAAATGTGATTATTGTTTCATATGTAAAAGGATTTAATGTCTCATGGGCTGAATGATTTTTATTAATCATGCACACATTTCTGATTGCCTAACAACTTTGGATATTGTTTTTAATGTGCAGATAAACAGGAAACTGAAGATGTGGCAGAAGAATGTAAAGAATCTTAAGGAAAGAGCTGCTGGGCTGTGCTTTTAAGGAAATTGGTAAATTAAGTTATATTTTTTCCAAATTCTTTGAGTTCAGTGAATGCATCATAGACACCATTCCTCAAATAATGACTTTAAATATTTGGCTTCTCTCTTCCTGGATTACATTTCCTTGATATTTTTGAAACTTGTGGTATAATTGTTCAGTGGTTTTTCTTCATTGAAATTCCTGGAAAAATTGTTTTTTATTGCTTATCTTAAAACATCAGGGATACATTACAGAAATCGACATTTTATGTACGTGTGCCATGTTAAAACTAGTTGAAGTGCTGTGATTCTTTTGTATTTGATTTTATATGTTACTTTATTGTGATTCAGATTTAATCACTATGAATTTTTGTTTTGGCCCTGATTTTCCTTCTTTTATCCTCTCTAATGCCTGTTAGGTAAGCAGAACTTCTCAAAGAAAGAAATGAATTTTCTAACAAAAGCAATGTAAGGGTAGCCTTTACTGTCTTATTAGTAATTGAAGCAGGAGTTTGAATTATTTGATTTATTATCTTCTTTCAGAGTTTGCCTTTTAGAATCCGGCAAGTAAAGATCAGCTACTTTAAAAAATTCTGTGGTACAATATTAAGAGGGTTTGGTCTAGTTACAAATCAGTAACCTAGATTCAGGAGAAAATTTTATGTTAACACTCCACAGATGAATTAGCATTAGAACTATCAGTGCAGTTTACTTCTGATTTAAAAAGTGAGCTGGCTGTTATGCTGCCTTTAATGAAATTTGGAGTCATGTATATGTGCTGTTATTTTTTGCTGGCACATTTTCATTTACTGATGATGAATAATGTTAGTAATTGTTTACGTCAAATTTCCTTGATTATTTTTAAAAATGAAGAATTTTATAGCTACTATTTTCAGAGGAATTGATAGGTAATTTCTTTTTCAAGCCTTTTCTCCCAGTTTACTTTAAAATAATAGTGGCTCATGTTGATATCAATGTGCTATAATGTAATTTATCTTGATGTTAAGCATTTTTCTGTTGGGTGCTAGCAGAAGTTAAAAGTTGTGATTTTTGACTCTTAAAATGACAGTGTATTGTAGGGTTTGGGTCAGAACGATCAGAGGGGAGAGGGGTTTGTGTGGGAGTTTGGAGTGGTGACAGAGAAGCTGTTTTTGCCCAGAGGCCTTTCAGAGGAGCTCAGCTTCTAAACACATGTGTTTCTGGTATTTGGTTTGTGTGTGTGTGTGTGAGAGAGAGAGAAGCTGGAGAAGAGAGAAGGAAAAAAGAAGAGAGAGAGGGAGGGGAGAAAGGGGGAGAGGGAGGGGAAATGGGAGAAAAAGGGAAAGTAGGGTGGAGGGAGTTTATGGTTTTATAATGGTGAATTGTATTTTGGTCATAGTGAGCCTTTATTTGATAGATGTTTAAGAGAGGGGACAGAAAACAGAATGGTCTTAAATAATGAATTTTGCATTAAAAGAGGTGATACCATTCTGTAGCATGTCAACCGAAGGTACCTCCAACAAAAACTGGTAAGTTGAATTTATATTTTAATACAAAGTCTCCAGATTTTTTAAAAAAGATTACCTGGATAGGGAGAGAAATTGTTATTAAAAATCAGGTTTTTGTTTTAAGGTTCCCTCTACACTTGAATGTTTGCCTCGAACAAGATTGAGAAGAAAAAGTATGAAAGAGAAAGAGCTAAGTCGTTTCAGGAATGAATTTAGGTCTTAAAATCTGAGGTTTTTCTATTTATGACTTCTCAAGATAAGTACTGTCCCCACGTTTATTGTGAATTGCCATAGGACCTAGAGTGTATTGCTATTTAAGCCAACACTTTCTGTAACAACATAGCAATAAACTCTTGAAGAAGGAAAAAGCTATCGCCTTGATGGCATAATTTTAATTTTTAATAAGTCCTTTATTTCAGTGCAACCTCCTGATTTGAAGGTTGGTCTCAGAGTGAGCATGGAACATACCTGGGGAAAAAAGCTCATGTTTGCAGATACTTTTTCTGTCCGATCTTGATATTTTTGTTTACTTGTGGTCTACTACTTAAAAGTGAATTAGAATTCTCTCCCAAGACTTCTCATGTTGAGCTACTTTGAGGATGAATGATGTCATTTTTCAAATAATTCTCTCAAATCGTTTTTCCAAACTATAACCAATACCTTCTAGTTTTTCATTCTTCACCTGGCTTCCATAGAATTATTTGGCAATTCACACTTACATATGATTATGCTACCCTAGATCGATACGTGTTTTTAGCATGAGAGAAAAATCAACAAGAAGTTTCTCAGTCAGACCATCCTTTCTAGCGTTTAATGGGCCTCAAAGCCAGGCCCTTAATCTACCAGTAAAATTTCTTTTTCTGCCTGTTCTTATTAAAACTGTTAGTTAATTTGTATCTGCATTCATGGTCCACCTGAAACTCAAGGTCTGCTTAGTGTAAAGCTTTGGCTTTCTCTTCATAAGTTTATAATTTTATGTGTGTGTGTGTGTGTGTGTGTGTGTGTGTGTGTATGTATTTTAGGATTTCTTCCAAATTCTACTTTTCTTTTTAGTTATGTTTTTGACCAAAGAGATATTTATTGATTCTTCAAAAGGTGGTATCTATAGAGTTTTGCTCAACTTTCAAAGGACAATTCCTCCTCCTTAAACTTACTTCTAAAGTTCTCTATAATATGTAATCATGTTGCCCACCAAGAGCCATCATTCATGGGTCAGAAAATGTAGCTGAGAATTATATGTGCTTCACTCCTGTTAGTCCTTTTGTTTTTAGAAACAGAACTGCCCTTTAAAAAGGATTCAACAAATGACATTTAATAATTAGTCAAATATGACATTATATCCTTTTGGGCCTACCTCTTTGGAGTCATTTCTCTATGTTTTTAATATGGCAGGCTAATTTGTTTTGCCCTTAAATAATATAAGAAGTGTGAATGTTACTATAATTTCTTCTTGTGTATGCTCTATTGGTTTAAGAATGGAATTTATCAACTCAGCCAGTAGAGAACAAACAAACATGGATACATAAGTATAAATAAATTTCTGTATTATTTATTGTTGTTCCTTGTACATAAGAAACAGTAATATACAACTTAAACTGCTTTAGAATGTAAAATGGATAAAAATGTGTACAAAAAAAGCACATTCCTAGAAAAAAGGTATTGGCAAATAGTAAAAACTTGGGGGGGGTAACAAGCAAAAAACAAATCAAAAAAACAAAACAAAACCCCAACAGTTCTTCAATTCAGTGTGCAAACATTTTATAAAAATAGAAATACTAACTCTACAGGCAGTATTTCCTGATAAATTATTTAAATAGAATATCTACACAATCTGAGATATCTATTCCAATGGCAATGAGAAAATAATTTATAAAAATAAAGCAATGGTATCACAAGATGATAGAAAAAACAATTTTCAGAAAATGTATTTAACATTTCAATGCTATTTCCTTATTGGGAATACTTTTCTGCAAAGAATTTTTATACTATGTACAACATTGACTTTTTTTTTGGTACTACAGTAGCTTTAAGTTTGTTAGACGCTTAAACTCTTTCTGCTTGATCCAAAAATTCTTTACTCAGTCACACAACAAATGAGGTAATGTTTGTATATAAGTTTCACCTTTATATTTTTTTCTCTTTGGGAAAAATGAAAAAAGTGTAGGTTTTTCTTCTCCCTGGAATTAGGCACAAGGAATAGAGTAAAACAGTATTAAAGGCCTCATGGATTTCTCTGCAATGTAAAAACACCTGTACATGGACATACCACTAATTCCACTTGAAAAGCTAAAACAAAGAAAAAAAATTCCCGAATCATTCATTCTAAGCACAGAGTGAGGAGCAGCTTGCCCTGCTGATTTTCCTTGTGCCATTCTTGTGAGAGATTTGCTGAGAAATCCCCACTACCTGCTATCAAACATTTTCCATATGAAGCCTAGATTCCAGGTAGGACAGAGTTAATAAATAATCTGTATTTACAACCTTACAGTCATGAAGACTTGTAACAAAGATGACATGGACAGCCCTTATGCTTCTTCCTGTTCCATGAATAGTCTTTCAGACAGATCTTCTAAGTAAGTAAAAATAAATATTTTACATTGTAAAGTGTAAAAAAAACAAGGCTACAAAGAAGGAATTGGAACACTCTATGATATTCAGGAAAAATAGAGAAAAGGAATGTTTTAGTTGAGAATTTTGTGCCTTTCTAACCATAAAAATACAAGCACAGCTGCTCCTCCTTTGGGAGGCAGCCTGGTGCTCACTGAGATGGTAGATTTTCTTATTTTCTGCTACATCTGCACAAGCTACATCTGGAATAAAACCAACCGTGTCCATGTAATCAGGCAGTGGCAGCAAGCACTGCCTCACACTGGTTTAAGTTTGACTACTTACTCTGGTCACTACAGGTGATGTGTAAGGGCTAGGGATCCAGAGGGAAGTCCAGAAGCCAGTCTTCCCCTCCCTTCCCTGCTTCTGTTTAAGTGCCAATTTACGTGGGTTAAATCAGCTAACACCTGTCAGCATCATGAAATCCAGCAATAGTCATTCAATCCCCTGAAAATGATTTAGTACCGAACATGTAACAGTTCCTCCACATTTTCTTCATACAAGTCCTTTATTCCCGTGGGTATGCACCCTCCCCTTAGGGCTTTGGTCCCTGCTCCCCTTATTCCCAAGGGAGTGTGTCGGGGTGGTTTGGTTTGCCAATTCTAGTGCGTCCTCCCTTCTCTTGCACGCCTGAAAATGCTTCTGAGTCCACTGCTCAGAGGTGGTCTCACAGTAGCACCGTGCTCTGACAAAAGCCAAGTGGAACAGGCACCTTCCAACTGAAGCAAGTGGTTGCTTTTGCATTTCCAAAAGCAAACCAATGTAACTGTTTATATTTGCAGAAGATTCTCTTTCCAGCCTCTGGAAATGCTGCAATGCTGAGTCTGGTTTGGAAAATTGCATTTTCTTGAGGCAAGTCACATGTCCTAGGAGTCCACACTGATGCAAGCAGAGAAAAAAGGCAGGCAGGCAGGAGTGGTCCTGGGGGTTTTCTTAAGCCCGTGGCTCCAGAAGGTGAATACCAGCACTGGTTATGATCTGTCTTTTGATCAACAGTTTCATTAGGAATCTGTTAAATAAACATAAATACATAAATACACAAAAAAATTCATAAAGGCATTATCTTAATACCCGTTAATGCATTAATAACCTTGGTATTACTTTACTTTTAGAATAACAAAAGTATAATTTAAGGTTGTCAGCTTATAAAAGTTACTGTGTTTGAGTATTATATGGAGTTTAATAGAGCTTGATCTCTAGAACTTAGGTTTTCTAAGACCTTCAATGTTAAACGTTGAGTCTGAATTTTTAAAATTAAACTCCCTAAAATATTTTAGTCTGAATATTTAAATTTTATAATCAACCATCTTTTTTTCACTCTGTAGGCATCAGACCTTGGCCCAATAAACATTTATTAAGCACTTATTTTCTGGTAGGCCCAACACTAGACTCAGCAAGAGCTTAAGGAACTGCTGAGTAAAAGAGAATGGGGGAAAAAAGCCAAGGTTTGCCTTCCCTTTCCTGGGATTCAGGGAAAGGTTGTGAAAAACAGCTTGTTCAGTAATGGCACAAATAAAATCATAAGCAGTGTGCAAGACATAAAAACATGCCAGATTTAAAAATATTAACAATGTGGTCTAAATTATCCAAGAGATTATAGTTTATCCTTGCAATGAAGAACACAGATGACTAAGCAAATGAGTACTGTTAACAAGGATTCAGGATTTCATAAGCTGCATTTCATAGGCATTGTATCTTCAACAGCAAAATATAAATAACCCTGTCCCTAAGTCTTTAAATCAGACTCTCCCATAATCGGCATTCTCAAACTCTGTCTGAATTAGAGATGTCCACTTCCCATTCGGTGTCACATTGCCCCTACCTCTGCATTCATATTTCAGGTCAGAGAAGAACACCATTTCTTGAGAGAAGACAAACATCCCTAGTCTACCGCCGGCGTAGGTTTTGTCATAGATGGGTCCTGAGTCAGCCATGATTTTTTTCCCTTCATACATCACCACTCTGCAGGGGAGAAATCTTGTTAGTGACACCCTGCTTTTTGGTCTCCACCTCCTTAATGTCACACAATCAGATGTCAGTTGAAATATAATCAGTGCAATCTTACCTAATGAAACCTGTCTTGGGCCTGTGGCTGAGACGCCATCTATAGGCAGTGAAATCTTTCCAGCCTATGTAACGAGGGTCATGCCACAGAGTGCGCACCTGAAGGAAGAGGACCAAGAAGAGGATGAAATCCAGCCCCATCAGATTTACATTTCATTTTGTAACAGTGCTTGAAAGGTAACAACTTCACCTAAATAAGAGGGTTGCAACATAAGGTTTTTTCCAAGCCCTCTTTCATATGAGGCGAGCCCTTGAATGTACATAAAAAGCAGCAGGGAAAGGTTTTTTGTTTGAAGAGGCTGAAACTGCCTTTGGACTGAAGGGTAACTCGTGCTTACTGCGAGCTCCCCTCTTAGATCCTATGTTTTTACAAAGCAGAACTTCACATCACAGTTGGTGAGGCTGGGGACTTGGTATCTAAGACTCGGTTGGGGCTGCTCAGCCGAAGCACCGCATTCTGAGTGCTGGTCAAGTACCCATCCACCCTCTGCTGTCACTGAAGCCTCCTCACCTGGCCGGGGGTGTTTCCTGTGTGCCACAGGGCATTGCGCAGGTGCTCGCCTGGCCCTGTGGTGGAGTTCACAACCTTCACAGACAGGCCTGAGTAACCCTGAGCCCTCGTGGGGTTGGTGTCCCAGTAGGACTGGGTGACTTGCTTCCACATCACAACATAGAATCGGCTGCTGGACTGGTAGCCAAACACAAATCCAGCATAGTCATCATCCCTCTCAGTGTTGATGAAGAAGGTGCCACTGAAGTCCACAGCATTAAATTCATCAAAACCTAGAAGATGAGGTCAGACCTAGGTTAAAACCTGCAGCATTCAAAGGGTTCTCCACTGCAGTTCCAGACATCCTTAGTACACACAGGCACACATGCAACTGCCAGGTTTTATATTTGCTTTTGTTGCAAGTATGCATTAGCCTTTTGTTTGAAGAACTCACTACTCACCTATAGCAAGTCCAGGATCACAATTGACAGTCTGGACGAGTTCTTTACCCTGATGGCGTACAACCCAGTTAGGATCATTCTGGGATGTCCCTTTGGGATCTAGGGGAATCATCTGGAATCGGCGGAAATCAGTCTCACTGATATCAATGTTCTCAGGACAGATGTCATCGATGTCTGGCACGTTGTCATGGTCAAAATCGTCTTTGCAAGCATCACCTCGACCATCACCTAAGGTCAGAAAGGCCAAGAATTCAGGGAAATTCTGAAATGCTATTATTGGTGTCAGAAACTCACTCTTGTTGAAGTTGGGATTTAGTCACTTCAGCCTCTCAAACATTTTCAGTTTTGTATTTCTCCATGCCAAAGCACCACGGCTTCAGTTACTCTCTTCAACACCTGCTCCATGGACTCACCGTCAGAGTCCTTCTGGTCGGGATTGGGCACGAGCCTGCAGTTGTCCCTGTCATCAGGAACGCCGTCGTTGTCATCGTCGTGGTCACAGGCATCCCCCTTGCCATCCTTGTCATGGTCGGCCTGGTTGGCGTTGGGCACATAGGGGCAGTTGTCCAGGTTGTTCTGGTGGCCATCTTCATCAATATCCTGATTGTTGTCACAGGTGTCTCCGATGCGGTCGGAGTCAGAGTCGAGCTGAAAGAGACAAAAGTGGGGGGTAAATGGGTGCAGACGTTGTTAACGACCCTGCGGATGGTTCTCTACTGTTTGGTAAGGCCAGTGGGATTTCATGTCCATATGGTACTCCTGAACAATATTAACAAATTTTAAAAGGTTTTTCTTGATCTTTATTTTTTTATGAAATTGGAAAAGGGGTACATAGGAGTTCTTTTTGAAACATAAAACTTTCTAAATTAAAAATAGAAAGTCTTATTTTTTCATGAAGGATGAAATATGATGTGTTAACTGCTTTTATGTTAATGTTAAATTCTCTGGGTCCATTTTGTTATTTTCCACAGAAGGTTCCAACTCTGACACTCACATGTCAACTTCTACTCTAGATCATTAAGTCATGGAGACATTGCACTGTTTTTTTGTACATACTGGGTAATACATATGGTGGGGCTCAATTAAGTTCTTTTTTAGGTATTTGATTTTATATAGCTAGTCCATAAGGCCTGTCATCTACTGGCTAAGGTAAAGTCAAAATTTCAAATTTTGTCTGAACTGTTTCTCAGAGTACTTTTATGTTTTTCAGTGTATATGCTTTTGGGATTATTTACAGAAAAACTATAATTTTTCTCACGAGTATTTATGTTCTTTGCTATTAAGATTTTTACATGATGTTTAAATGATTATAAATTTTATTATGATCTGAGGGAAACTCATCCTCAGAGGTTAAACGATATTAAAGTTTAATTCATGGCAACATCAAACTTGAAACAGATGACCCTCAATGCCATTTCATCAGCAAAGCTGTCCCTTATAATACATGCCTTCCCTGTTACAGCCCCAAAGCTATTTACCCCATTGCTTTTTGTTTTACAGGACTATGTAAGAACAAATATTGGGAAGAAAAGCTATACTTCCCATTTCTTGAATCTTTCATATATCATTAGCCATAACAGTGGTTGTTTATTTTGCTTAAGGATATTTTCTTCCCTCTGTTAGTCTTCAGTATGATCAGTATCACTGGAGAGTTGTCACAGATTTCTGCTTTGTCTAATTCATCCTAACAAGGGCAGATCATGCTGAGCAAGTCATTAGACCTTATTGTAGAAGACACGATTAAAATTGTAAGATTGTCACACTAAAGGTCTAATGCACTCTGCATGGAGTTCATATCAGGCAAACTATTTACATGAAAACATTACAATCTGCTATGAGCCCACTGACAGCCATGGTAATGGAAGTGTTTGAACTCTATTTACCTCTATTTTTAGAGGGTAGGAAGAGACAGTCCAATGCTTTACTGAAAGATTCTGAAAGGAGTCCACCTACCTGATCTGGGTTGTGTTCCAGGGGGCAGTTGTCACACTGGTCTCCAACCCCATCCATGTCAGTGTCCTTCTGGTCCACATTGTAGACATACTGGCAGTTGTCTCGTTCATTGAGGATACCTGCAGAGTGCAGACGACCCAGAAGAGTGGGCATCTCTGTCTCAGGTGTTTCGGCTAACCTGCACACTAAAAGCCAGCAAGGCTGGAGAGAGAGCAGCTGGAAGCAAAGCCTGGTCACCACTGCCACTGGGCCTGCTGGAGCCACGGACTGCTTACCGTCCCCATCGATGTCAGCAGCACAGGCATCTCCTTCCCCATTGTTGTCTGTGTCAGCCTGGTCTGGGTTGTGGTTATAGGGACAGTTGTCACAGCGGTCTCCCACATCATCTCTGTCATAGTCATACTGGGCTGGGTTGTAATGGAAGGGACAGTTGTCCTGCCAAGAGAAGTAATGCAGCAGTTCATGACCTCATGCGGCTAGCTTGGCCTTGGACCACACACATCATTTACGTAAGACTGCAAAAACTAACAATCATTTCCTACTTGGTGCATATGCTAATTGACTACTCAGTGTAAAATGTCACTGCAAAAGTTGAACATAATGAATGAGAAATGGATTGTTGTTGGTCACAAGTCAGTGAGATGGAAATATAAGTTCTCATCTCAGTTCTCAATATGCCCAATGTATATTTTACTCTAATTTAGATTAGACATTTGAAAGGAATCTGGGGAATAAAGTGTCATGTTTATACATATAATTTCTTGTTTAAATTAGGGGGAGGGCAGGTTGTGATGAAAAACAAAACCTTCATTTAAAAATTCTCTTGGCAACATCACAGTCTTGAAACCGCTGAAACACAATGAATAATTTCTAATTATCCTATATATTGGTTCTGTAAATTTCCCCATACGATCCATAATTTCCTTGACTCTAAAGTGCTTCAGGCTGTCACTAGAGGGAAAGGGTGAGGAAAGGAAAACATGGTCTTACCCGGTCATCTGGGATTTTATCATTGTCGTCATCGTCATCACAGGCATCGCCAATTCCATCCTTGTCATAGTCTTCCTGTCCTGAGTTGGGAAGGTTGGGGCAGTTATCCTGGAAAGAGAAGAGGCACATTCCAGCTGCATCTTCACGCCCTCTGCTCAGCTGGACGTGAGGGAGCACAGCCCAGCTGCCCAGAGAGAGAAGGGAACGCTGCTCCTCACACAGCTGTTGTCAATGGGAAGACAAAACATAGATACCGGTCTCCCCACAGAGCAGTATTTGTATAAATGCTGTAGGCTTTGTACATGCTGGGAACACAAGTCATACTCTGCTGGCATTTGGTAGAGTAAGGGACATTTTTTAGGGACAAATTAATCAACCAGGGAACACAGTTGCCAAAGGGACCTGTCCATTCATATTCTTGGCAACAAGTGTTTTAATAAGAATTAGTGCCCCTCTGCCTTTGGGTGAGTTAATCTTTCAGTTTCATTTTCAAACTTGAAGCATTTAAAACCCCTTAGTCTGCACTTCTGATATGAGGATATGCCTTCCGGCTGGTGGCACACATGGGAAGCTGGCTCTACCTTCTTGCAGTGGTAAGTTGCATTGGCCACGCACACCAGGTCCTCGTTGGGCCAGCCGTCCAGGTCTGTGTCCTCCCCGCAGATGATGCCATTGCCAGCATAGCCGGGCCGGCACTCGCAGCGGTACATGGGGTCGCTGTAATGGCCCAGGTAGTTGCACTTGGCGTTCTTGTTGCAGTCATGAGTCCCATCCGTGCAGGGGTTGCGGGGCTTGCACACCTGAGGGCGCATGGGCCTGATGTTAATGAAGACCCTTGGAGGGCCCCAGATTCCCAGGAAACAAGAACCTCCCAACTCCTGTCATCTGTCTCCAAGTGGACAGAGGCTCCATGGGGGAAGAGTCGGGGTTACCTCTGTCTTGCCCCATTCTACCCCTGGGGATGTCCAGGTGACAGGGTAGCATTGTTTTATGTGTGTGTTTCTTGAAACTGCTCAGCAGTTAGGCATTTACAAGTCTATCGGCTCACAGCTTATGCCAGAGAAGCATTTTCAAATGAGATGGCTGGATATTCAGTGGATTTTCTAGTCATATTTCTAAAAGCAAGATGGTACACTCAACCTCCTCCCCATTTTCTGTGAAAGGGTGAAATGCCATTCCTCCCTCTCCTAGTTGTCGGTTGAGGCCACCTCTCCCCTCTTCTAACTTACTGATCTCATCTGCTCTACCTGTTTGTTGGCTCTGGCATGTTCCGCACCCCGGCCAAAGGGCTGCGGACCAGTGAAGCGGGGTGGGCATGGCAGGCAGTTGTAGCCGGGGTCTGTGTTCTCGCATCTGTGCTCGCCATTGTGGTTGAAGCAGGCATCAGGCACTTCTCTGCACTGTGGAAGAAACAATAATTTGCTTAATGTTTAAAAAAACATGGCATAGGAAAATATTAGGACAGGTTAGCTGTGTTCCTAGGTCCAGTAACCAAGCCCTTGGTTCCCCACCTCATTGACATCTTTGCACTGGACGCCATTTCCGCTGTAGCCAGGAGGACAGGCACCGCATTTCCAGCTGCCATCTGGGTAGCTAGTACACTTGGCACCGGCGAAGCAAGGATTGGACAGGCATCCGTCTGAGACGAGAGAGATGGGCAGTGGTGGGTCTGTGCTGCTGTTACTGCCAGGCTGGCCATGTAACACAGTGCAAAATAGTATAGGGTTGATGTAACTGATAGCTTAGTGAGAGTAAATGTCAGGTGGACAACAGAGTAATTAAATCCCTCAGGACCATTCAAATCTGTAACCTCTGAGAGTTGACCATGGCATTCAGTGAAAAAAACCAAAAACATCAAACAAATCCCCCGCTAGGGTTTGCTCTGGGCTGCCTGCTCACCGATCGGACAGTCCTGCTCATTGCACATCTGGTTTTCTGCCATGTCGCCCACGCAGTCCTTGCCTCCAAACTGGGGTGGGGGATTGTTGCAGAGCCGGCTGCGCTTCTGCACCCCTCCTCCACAGGTGACAGAACAGATGTCCCACAGCGACCAGGGACCCCAGCCACCGTTGACTGTAAGAAAATGAGCCACATGCAAAGTTAGGGTCAATTCTCAAACATCTCACCCACTACAGAAGACTTTCCTAAGTTTGTTCAAGAACGCTCTGCTACCCTGATCCACAGAAAAAGTGCTGGGGAAGAAGGTGAGTTTGAAATGCTTTTCTGCTTCTCATTAAAAGAAGCTGCTGAGCGGGCAGACTTTGCTTCCACTGGTTTCTCTAGGAGTAACTTTTCCCTTCATGACTGACCAAACTGAGGGCCACAGACGCCAGGAAACCTGCTGGACAGCTGCCAGTCGGCACTCAGCTGGGCAGTGTGCTCACACTTACTGGGGCAGGCATCCTTCTTGCAGGCTTTGGTCTCCCGAGCTTCGCCTTCGCATGGCTTCCCATTCATCTGGGGGCTGGGCGAGTTGCAGAGCCGGATCCTTGTGATTGCCCCTTCACCACATGTCACAGAGCAGGATGACCATGGGGACCAGTGGCTCCAGCCTCCATCCTGTTTAACTGAAGGACAAAGCTGATGGGTGTAGAGTACTCACCGTGAGCCTAGCTCTGTGCTACATGCTTTCAGTGCATTATCTAAATAAAATTCTCAGAACAACTCTATCAAGTACTATTATTGTCCTCAATTTGCAGATGAGGAGAAAAACCTCCGAGAGGATAAGTTGTGCTCAAGGATGCACAGATAAGTGGGCAGATCTGAGAGTCTAGAAGCTAGGCTCTGAACCTCTGGGCTATGGAGCTGCTCTTGATGAGGGCAAGGCCAGGTCAGCTCCACATTCCTGCATGGCCAAGATACTTACATCTCTTATCACACTCCTGAATGTGGCAGGTCCGTGTCTGGACAGAGGAGCCCTCGCATCGGTTGTTGAGGCTATCGCAGGAGCGGCCACGCTGCTGGATTCCATTGCCACACGTCACAGAGCAGGAGGTCCACTCAGACCATGGGGACCAGCCATCGTCCGCAGAGTCGCTGGCTGCAGAAGGAGCAGGCTCATTTAGTGTATGAACATTTTTAGACTGCTCTGTGCAGGACTTTCTTCCCTTGTCAGAGTGTGAAAAGCAATCAATTTCCTAGGCCAACAGCTAGGGCTTTCTCCCAGGTCCTCACGCGTACAGCATTGGAGAAGCAAATGCTGTGTCTGGGTCAGTACAGCTGGGCCTCTGCCCAGCATGTGTTCTCCTATTCATGTTGCTTTCTTTCGCAGTGTTTCTCATGCATTTCCCTTTCTGACTTAAGATATCTTGGTAGGCATTTCCAGTCCCAGGCTTCCAAGAACATTGGCATTTTAGGCAGCTTATAGGAGTCACCTTGGACTTCCTGGGGAGCCCCAGACCATGTGTTGGGCAGATGAGCTTGAAGGCTGCTCAGCTGCTGCTGCTCTGCCCCCAACTCACTCATGAGGTTAATCAGTGTGCTGCCCTCTTCCCCCAGCCTTTGGGGCCTTCTCTGCACATATTTTCATTAAGAGGGGAATGTGTTTGTTTACCGTGGGCCCAGGCACCATGATTACAATCACATGTAACTGCATTAGACCCAAGACAGAGAACTTGTTTTCTCCTGCCACCCACTTAAAGTTATCCTAGCAATCCGATTCAAGTTCAGGATTCTGCTAGTCTCCAGCTAGCTGTGTTCCCTTTAACTCACGCCTGAAGTGAATGCTGAACAGAAATAGATGTGCAAATGATTATTACAATACCAATATGGCTAACATGCTCCCTGGATGGGACTAGTTATTCTGAGCTGTGAACAATGCCTTTAGAGCTCTGTGTGTGTGTGTGTGTGTGTGTGTGTGTGTGTATGTGTGAGTGCATACATGCATGTGCGTGTATATATAGGGTGAATACTACTTTCTTATCTTAGTTTGGAGGAATTGTTTCTACTATATTCAGTTCTGTCTCAGCGAATTAATTCATACTGGCAACAAAAACCAGAGAGAGAGTGAGCACACAGAACAGTATTTTGTTTAGTGTTCTGAAACTCAAACTGCTGTTAATCTCAGGCCTTCTATTCCTGCAGATAAAAGGGGCAGAATATTCAGGCCCAATTAAGTCAGTGCTTGTACTACAGCCCATCAATTTCTCTGCTGATTATATTTTCCTTAACTCTAGGCTATAAGGTCCAATTCTAAAAGCAGTTAACTTAGAGCTACTGCTGCCTCAAATTCATCTCTCCTTTCCTCAAAGTGTAAAAATAAGGAACAGTAAACTATACCAAGATCATTATTACCTAAACTATAACCCAGAGGAGAATTAAGATTTAGTCCAAATGGAGTTTTTGGTGCTATATAGCCATCAGTTAACCAGATGCTATAGTAAGAAACTGAATGGAAACACATGACGGAGATGGGGTGGGTTGTGTTCAGCCAGTACTCTGCTCAGCTGTCCTGTGTTTAGAGAAACAGTCACTGAAGGATGGTTACACAGGTTTAGGATGAATGCGGTTGTGGCACCCGTCGTAAGAGGTAGCCCTTGACACCCATTGGAGCAAGGCATGATGGGGCAGGACACTTTTTTGCAGATGGTAACTGAGTTCTGCAGGACAAGAGGGAGGAGAAAAGGGCTACTGAGCTTATTGTAAGCAGAAGTTTATATACTGTAACATTTTAATTGCAAGATACACTTAGGGTTGTAAATACTCTAGTGGGATGATTTTAATAGAAGGTCTGCTCTGTTGTACTTGAAACGAACAGAATTATAGGAACAGTTCAAGGGCTAGTGACCTGTCACTCCATTCCTTGGAGGGTTCTTTCTTAATTGCCACTTAGTCAGTGGTAGAAGTTATAGCATAAAGAATTTATCTGAAGGGAACCACCAAATTATCATGAGTCAAATCTAGTAATCTGGGACTGAGATCAAAACATAAACCTCAGTCAGGACTTTTAAATTTTAAAATTATATTTTTACGGGGTGAATTATAAAGTCACTGTCCAAATCCAGCAATCCAAGATTTATATTTAAGCTTGACTTTGTTCAGTGTGCCAGGCATGCCCAAGCTCACCTGCCACTGGTGTTGAGGCAAGAGAAGTGACACACACTAAGTCATTACTTTTAAGCAGACAGCTTCACCCTGCAGTGTTGGGCTAGGTGCCCGGAATAACAATCAGTACCGTATTAAGGGAATCTCCATGCCACAGCTGAATACAAATCAGGGTTGACGAAAAAAACAGGTAATGTTCCAACCAGGTATTTACCTGATATTCAACACTTAGCCTTTGAACTAATGCAGGTAAATTATTCAGATGTCTTATATTTGTTCTTTTAGATACTTAGCCTGGGGTATAATCAAGACTTTGAAAAACTTTTGAGAGTTAAAAGAGGATTTTATAGATGTCATAATTGCATCTAAAAATAACCAAACTACTGTAGTATTAGGCCCTAGAACATAAAAAGAGCTTGTGTGACCATCTGGGTATTTCCCCAGAGACGGCTTCAAACACACACCAGCATTCATACTTCGGCTCGTTAGGATCCCTTACCTGACAGCGGCACTCAGTACAGCTATCGACAGTCCATTCCTCCTTATTCCTGTACTGAACTCCATTGTGGTAGCAGAGGGGGGGCCGCCTCAGCTCATTGACCAGCTCTTTGTTCTCTTCAGTCTAAAAGGGGGAGAAAAGTCATTAATGCCCAACATCTCCAGTCATCTGGGATCATCTGATACACTTCAGGGGCTCAAGCTGGAGGGCTGCACGTGGAGGCCACTGACCACTTTGCGGATGCTGTCCTGAAGTGTGGTCACGATGGTGCGCAGGCCCCTCAGCTCCAGGACCATGCTGGACAGCTCGTCACAGGAGAGGCCACAGATGGCTTGCAGATCCTTTGTCTTGTGGCCAATATAGTTGGTGCGGATGGCAGGGCTGGAACCATTCACCACATTATTGTCAAGGGTGAGGAGGACATTGGTAGCTGCTAAGAAACAGAAATAAACACAATGAGAAAAGTAATGGACCTTCAAACAGATGCTCTCACAAGTCCCTAGGGTTCTTAGGTACAAAAGACGTTTCACTTGGGGTGACGCAGGTGGAGAAGACGCATGCGTGTGGGTTTGCGTGTGGAATGCCTTTTGTGGTCACTCCTATATACCTTTTAATTTTACACACTTTTAATTATCTGGGGTAATTTATGTACAACCACCAATACTTAAGTTTCTCAGCTTGATTTGGGTAGAATTTCTAAAAACCAAATGGTACTCACAGCTGGAACAGCCTTTGTTCCTGAGGATGTCCTCTGGTGTGGTTCCAAAGACAAATCTCACGTTCTGCAGCACCCCCTGTGGACCGAGGACTCACGTTACTTACTCGTGGAGTACTGGACGGGGAAGGTGGAAGAGACTTTTGGCACACAATAGATGTGCTCAAAGTTTGAAAGAGCTCCTTTTTAAGATCACCATGTCAAAATAACACAGCAACAGAAACTGTCAACTTCAAAATCTTATTTGTGTCATCTGCCAAGTCTTCAGTATTTCATAAAGAATTCAGTTATCAGCCTACTTGGATACACAGGAAATGGAATCTGATACTAAGGCCAGAGAATATGACACTCTCCAGTGTCAAGGAGTTAAATGTGGGAGTTTCAAAGCTACAGTTGTAAAGATCTAGAAGTTTAGGCAACTGAATAAGATGCAGCAGAAAATAACCACTATTGTAACCTTTTATTTGAGACTAGCTACATCCATCCCCAAGAGAAATGGAATAGCAAAGTGGTATTTATTCTGCTCCTACAAGAATCCATTTCAAGCAATGTAACAACTGGTGGGGATGCATTTGAAGTAAGTTCATCTTCCTTGAAGAAGCAGAAGTCCCTAAGGCTTGAACAGAAAGCCATACTTGAACAGGAAAGCCATTTGTTTCCTTTAGTGGTTTTCAAAGCCTAGTCCCCAGAATATCAGGACCAGTATCAGCGTCGCCTGGCACTTGTTAGAAATGGGATTTTTCAGGCCCACCCTAGACCTACTCAACCTGGAGGCCTGTGGGTGGGGTGCAGTGGTACGCAAGTATCAGAAGCCCTCCAGGTGATTCCCATGCCCTAGGAAGGTTTGAGAACGACTGCTGTAGTCCACAGGCAGTAGTCCACAGGCAGTATGCTCTGTACTGGAACCCTGCCACTCCTGCTAGAGCCCTCCTGACAGGTCAGCTCGCCAGCAGCTGACCCCATTGGCCATGAACCAGAAAAAAGGCCTCACCTGGAAGTTGTCATTGACACCTCCTTTGGCGATGCGCAGTCTGGCAGTGTTGGCCAGGTCCCTGGTGAAGATGCTCTGGATGGGGACGTCCAGCTCGGCGTTCTCCATCTTCTCACAGTCAATGTACAGCTGGGCCCTGTCCTCCTGCACAAACAGGGTGATGCTCTTCCACTGGCTGGTTGCCAGGAGCGCTTCTTCCACAGACACCACATGCTGCTTCCCCTGCACGGTCAGGCTCAGGTCCAGGGTGCCAGCCTTGCCGTTGGAGACCACGCTGAACACTTGGCCAGAGTGGTCTTTCCGCTCCACGGCCAGCAGCGTGCCCCGGGTCTTCTTCATCTGCCTCAGGGAGGCCAAGAGGAGGAAACCTTTCTCTGCTCGCACAGCATCCACCAGGTCTTGGAACTTGTCATCAGGCATAGGGGGAATCAGGTTGGCATCCTCAATGCGGAAAGCTGGGCTGGAAGGGTCGGGGCCCTTTACCAGTCGGCGCCCAGAGCCCTTGCGGGCAGCCCCCATGAGTTCAAAGAGGTCGAATACGCTGCTGTCTCCTCCAGACTCTGTTAGATAGGAAGAGGACACACATTGAGATTTCTAGGCTGGGGCCAGGGGTGGGGACTCAGCTCTGAGGAATGGAGACAGAGGGGCTGGGTGAAAACTCCTGGCAACTGCTGAAAGAGCTGAGAAAACATCATGGTCAGCGAGAGCCTGGATTGTGCTGTTCAATCAGGGCTCAGGGGAGAAAGTGCTGGGAGACCCGGGGTACCCACATCTCCTCTTCCCTCCCGCCTCACACGTATTATACAGACTCACCTGGAATTCGATTGGAGACACACACATGCAACAGGAACAGGACACTGAGTCCCCAGGCCAGCCCCATGGTGGAGCTGTTTGTGCCCAGCAGGGAGCCTGCAGCAGAAAGCACAGAGCACAGGGTCAGGGGCAGCCAAGCAGGGAGGGTGGGCAAGACCTGGGGGCTGGGCTTGGGGCCAGGGCCCCAGGGTGCCCGTTTGGGCCCCACAGTTGCTGGAATGAGGGACCACAGTATTTACTTTGGAGAGCGCATCAGGAAAAAGAAGTTGAGGGGAGGAGACGGTGGTTTGAAGTGGGGTGAGGTAAGGCAACAACTGGGGGCCTTCCCTTGGGGCATCTGGGGCAAACAGCAGGGCTAGGGGTTTGAGGGCACAGGGAGGCACCGGGGATGTGGAGAACTGATAGAAAGGTTTAGGGAGGACTTGGGAGACTAGAAAAAAAATCGTGGGGTATCTTGACCAGTTGGCTTGTGACCCCAAGACTGGAGAGGGTGGCTCAGGGGCCGTTTCACGAGGAGCGTCCCCCAGCGGCTGGGAGGGACAGGGTGGGGAAGGCGCAGAGCAGGCGACCCGGACCCTGCGGGGGCTGAGCCTCGGAGCTCCAGGTGAATGGCCAGGGCCGCCGGGACCCCTTACCTGTGTGCACACGGCGCAGCGGAGCGGAGCGGCGGCGAGGGCGCAGAGCCCCGGCGAGGCGCGGGGAGGGCGGTGCGCCCGGCAGGCAGCGGCCGGAGTCGGAGGCTGCGCGGGGTGATCTGGCGGGATCCTGCACTGGCCGCCGGCTCGGGAGCTGTGGCTGCAGAGGCGGCGAGCCGCACGCCTTTAAAGGGGCGCTCACATTCCTGGGGAGTCCCCTGGC